GGAGGCACTGGCAGAGCAAAGCTGGGCTCAGCTCTGTGCCCAGTCTGGGCATCTCCATCCCAAACTGGGACACGTGCCCACAACCCCAGCTCTGGGATGAGCCCCTGGGGGTGTTCCCCCTTCAGGAAGTGAGTCCATGGATGACAGTAGTAGAAGCTGGAATGAGCCACCAGAGCTGAGATAAAGGGCAAGGCTGGTGGTGGCTGATGGGAGGGAAGCTGCAGAGTTCCCCTTTCCTGAGGTGCCTCCTGTGAGACTTCAGGGTTGGAGAGAATGTGCCAGAAATTCTGGAAGAATGTCATCCTCTGTCAAATAAAAATCCACCTGGAACTTCATAGCCCAGGCACTGCCATTGCCCTTTCATATCTTCCCACTTATTCCTGCTCCTGGGCCAAAGGGATAAAGAGAATTGTTTTTTGCAATCTGCAGAGGAGAGTTGAGTGTTTCCTCCCCGTGTATGTTAAATTTTAGATAAGGTTTTTGTCAGTCAAGCCTGAGCTGAACTAACTCAAAGCTGGCAGCAAATTACAGAATGCAGGAATTCTCCCGGGCTCCCTGACTTCTTCCAGCAGTGTCCAATATAAATGAAGTTCCCTCCTATTACAGCTGATGGGGAATGGATTATTCCCCAGTTTGTCAGACCATTCTTTGTTTACAAGGAGCAGTTTTGTTTTATCTGAGTCCAGAGCACCTCTGGGTCGACGTCGTGAACGTGCAAATATCTCAGTGGATTAATTTGATAACCTCATAGAACTGTCACCTGTTATCCTGTTATATTTTTGTTTTCTTCAGTTGGGTTTATGTCCATATTTCTGCCCTTCTGTGCAAGGATGGTGTGAGTTTATGTTGATTTTTTTAGCTAGTTGCCTTCCCCATGACCTTGGAAGTGTTGGGAATGTGGTGCCTCTGACCTTGAATGTATTTTCTGGCCTTCCCACAGCCTTGGGAGCTTTGATCCCATCAGGAAACAGAGAGATGGAGCCTCTTTAACTTCCCAATTTCCTCAAATTGCCCCGATGAATTTAGGATTAAAATAAGAATTGTGCAGTTCCAGTATCCCCTCGTTGCCTCTTCAGCGTTGCTCTGGTTGGAGGAAAGATGGTTTGGTGGGAATTGGAGACAGCTGAGCTGGTGGAATTGTTTCACTGGATTTTCACTGTGGATTTGTTTCTGGACAAAGAAAAAAAAAAAGGCATTTTGGGGGCTCAAATCTTTTGCATAATGAAAGGAATAAAGGAATAAAAAGGCCAGTCTGCAAATGTGAGAACAAAGTCTTGTGACAGGCAGGCAGAGACCATCAGGCTTCCCATAGGAGAGGCCAAGGGTTCAGAACTAAGAAAAGAGGGGCTGAGTTGAGCCAGTTGACTGAAATGCCACCTCTGCTGGCAGCATTGGCAGGACAAAAGTTGGTTTGGGGTGAAAAATGCCCAGAAAAAAAGGAGTATTTCTGTCTTGGTGTGTACAGACACTTTTGTGTCCGTGTCTAAGGGTAGACAGACACATTTCCAGATTTTGCTGGAAGGAGGAAATCCTCTCTGAAGGACTACTCTAGTTTGGGAATGGATGGTCTGTGTCTTACCCTGAGGCAGTTCTAGACCTGAGCAGACAAGTCACCATGAATAAAGTGTCTCCCCTGTTCCTGAGCTACTGGGGTTCATTTACCCCTCTGGGATCAACATCCCCAGTCCTGGGCAGCTTTCTGGCACTGACTTCATGTTCTTTTTAGTGAACTCCACACCTAAATGGAGCTGAGGTGGAGGAGGGAGGTGGATCCCACTCCTGAGAGTGCTCTGGAAATGCAAAATACTCTGGAAATGCAAAATACTCCCTCTGCCCTCGTTGAGGAATCCTGTGCCTGGCTCAGCCTTAATCCCAGGTGGATTGTGGGGCTGTCCTGGCTCTCATTGAGATAATAAACACGCTACAAAAAAGATTCCCTGGGTAGTAAACACGGTGGACCCGTTTTAGATTCCTAAAGCTGTGAACTTCGTCTGGCAGAGAGAAGTTCCACCCAGCAGTTTTTTTTTTTTCCCCAAAAGAGGTCAATCTAATTATAATTGGCTTTAATGAGCGCTACTCTGCAGTTCTTTACCTGTGGCTGGTCGGCACTCAGAAGTGCAAATGCCTTTGGAGCCTTTGGAAAAAAAAAAAAGGCGAGGAGAAATCAAAGAAGTAATTTCTACTCTAATTCATTTCAACTTGAAAGCCTCGGTTATCCACACAGAGGGGGGAGACAATCCAGCAGCAGTGGGAAAAAGCCAGAGCAGAGCAGGGATCAGCAGCCACGGGATAAGGGTGAAAATGCTTTTGCTCCCCCGAGGTTTGCCCTGCGAGCTGCCTGGGATTTGGCTTTGTGTGTGGAGGAGTCACTCCAGCAAAGGCAGCCAGGGTTGTACCAGTTTGGAGCGAAGTCTTTGTGCCTTTAAAGACACTCAGGGCATTAGTGCAGGGAGAGGAAAACACTAAGAAGGAGAATTTGTCATTTGGGCTGTTCCCAAAGCAACATTTATGTACCTGTTTCCCCAGAGAGAAGAAAATCTCATCTGTCCAGAAATTGTACCTGGTGGCAGCCGATCTTTATCTTGGGGATGGAGCGTTCCCAGGCACTGCTTTGGGGAAGGAAAATGGGTTTGAGGGAGCTGTGGAGTGTTCAGCTGGTGGTGCAGGAGTGGGCTTTTGTTCTCAGAAGATGGAGCTCTTCAGAAATACTGATTGGGAGACATTTGCTGTGTGCTGAGCCTGCACCAGGAGCAGAAACCTTCCAGGACCGGGTGAAGGGAATCAGCAGCCCCAGGAGGCTGGGGCTGGCCAAGGATTTCTGTCCTGTGTGCCCCCATCAGCTCTAACAGGGGCAGGGGGTGGTTCTGGTGATGGATTTTACTCCAGATAACTGTTCACAGAGTCACAGAAGAGTTGAGGTTGGAAGGACCTTAAAGGATGGGTTGATGGGTCAGGCCTTGGACCGTGTCCTGCTCTTCTTGGAGCCAGGACAGGTTTAATTCCTGCTCTTTTGCCATTCAGTTTTCATGCAGCCTTGCCCAGACAGGCTCAGCTGGTGACTCAGCTCCTGGTTATGTATGAGGGCCATTCTGGATGTTCAAGGTGAGGGGGTGTCTCACTGTCTGCACACTGGGTTTGTGTCTCTGTTCAGGGTAACTGAGGGTGAAGGAGACCATCAGCTGTGCCTTTGTCATTGTGCTGCTCCGTGGCCTCGTGTTTGAGGCCCCCAGGCTTGTGTTCAACCCCAAAATGCCCAGAGGATGATGAGGAATATGTTGGATTTTGTTGTGAGCAGTGGAGGGGGGCTGAGGAAACCTCTGTCCCCAGGAACAGGCAGAGTCCAGCTGTTGTTATCTGTGATAAATAATTGTGACTCGTGAAACAAATGGGTGGTGACATCCAAATAAAACAAACGGATTGTAAAACTTAATTACACCCCCATAAAGAAATAAAACAGACCCTTACAAGGTCAAGGGGCCCTAAAACCTCGCTACTACCCTAAGAATAAAGTATGGTAGAACTTTAAATCTGTTTGTCCAAGAATGCAGGAATTATGATTGTAGAGATAACCATTTAACTTTAGCTGTAAGAAAACCCATATATTAAATACTTAGCAAAAAACCTGTAAAATGTCTATGTCTATGAGATAATTATTATGCATGAAGTAGCTAAGATAAAATGCCAAATGTACACTGTAGTAGGTGTGCAGATTTGGGAAACTTGTCCCCATTTCTGTCACCCAGCTGGCTGTGCTTGCTTTTACCAGATAATAAACTCCTATTCAAAAACTTAGAGAAACAAGACTTAGTTTATCACAGATTTTGTTGTGGGCAGTGGAGGGGCTCTGAGGAAGCCTCTGTTCCCAGGAACAGGCTGCCTCCAGCTGTTGTTATCCCAGTGGGAACAGGGATGGGGGTCCAGGTTGCATATTTCTGCAGGAAGGACAAAACTGCATCTTTAGGTTTTCCCTTCTCCTGGTCCCTCCCACCCCGTGTGTGCTGTGTTTGGGTGTTAAATGTGTCTGCCCCTGTTTGACTCGTGCTTTCTGTGTTCTTTTTGCCAGCCCAGAACTGCAGCCACACCTTGCAGGGCCCCAATGGGACGATCCAGAGCCCGGGCTTTCCCTATGGATACCCCAATTATGCAAACTGCACGTGGACAATCAGTGCCGAGGAGCAGCACAGGATACAGCTGGTTTTCCACTCCTTTGCACTGGAGGAAGACTTTGATGTGCTCTCCATCTTCGATGGGCTGCCCCAGCAGGGCACTCTGAGGACGAGGTACCGTGTTAATCACAGGGATGTTCCCAAACATTCCCCTTCCTGGGATTCAGCCCGGGCTGGATGTTTATGCTGCAGTTAAGCTGGGAGTGTTTTCTCCATGAGCAGCTCTTTACAGTTGTTTTGATTTCTTATCTCTGATAGGGTTTGAAATGTTGCTCCCAATGCCTGACAGGAATGATTTATCAGGAGTCATTCTGGGCACCCAGAGAAGTTAATTAGAGACTGGAGCAGCAGGAGGAGAGCAGAGCTGATGTGCAGCTTCCCTGGGTGCCAGCGAGATCCTCAGGGTGGGAGGAGGGTGCTGGGGCTCAGTTGCAGCTCTGCCAAGTGCTTTGAGAGTTTTCCCACAAAATTTGGGCTATTCCCAGCAGCTGGACAGGGGGGATATTCTCTCACATCCAACCAAACTGTTGGATCTTCAGGAGTATTGAATAATATGGTTTAGGTAGGAAAGTCTTCAGGGGTTCTCATATTAGACTTTTAGGTACCATCCTGTATTAATAGAAAGTTTTATGAGGGGCTGATTTTGGAAAAAAATTTGTGTGTTGCTTTGGAAGCAAATGTTTTATGACCCATCAGACTCGTGCAGCTGAAGGAGTCGTGATCTCAGAGCTCCACATCTGAGGCACAGATGAAATCAGCTCTTGTTGTCTGATGTGGTGACTGACTTGCAGCTGAAGCCTGACAGTAACACATCCAAACCCTCACAGGAACAGAGGCAGCATCCAGTGCTAAAATCCTGACAGGAATTCTGGAGTCCTGGGAATCAATTTTGCTTCGAGCCACTTGAGTTCAGGACAAATCCATTGACCTCCAGTGCCTTGTCAAACCCGAGTGGAAAAATCTGAGTTCCACGCTGGGGGAAATCAGCCCTTTACGTAATGATTTCAGTTATGCAAATAAATCAGAGCTTCATCTTGCAACTGTGCTCGAGAATCACGTTAATTAGGGGACCTCATCATTTAATCAGGAGGCAGCAAAGTGCTTTGCTTTGGGTGTAATGTAAAAGGGAGAAAAATCTGGTGTCAAATTGGGCTCAGGGAACTCGGTGTGGTGAGAAGTTAACGCTGCTCTGAGCTCCTCATCAGCCTGGGCTGGTTGTGGGCAGAAGGAACACAAAAGGGCCACGAAAATCTGAGGTCCAGTGGGGTCCTGCCCTGGGAATTTGTGGCCCTGCACTGGGGGAAGGTGAGGGGACAGGTGAGGTGCTGCCTCTGCATCCCTGGGGACCTTCAGTGCAGTTGGGGACGTGGATGTGAATTTGGGGTGAAACCAGGAGCCAAAAACCATGGGAGAAGGTTTCATGTCCAAGGAGGAGCTGAGGTGTTCAGGAAATGTGTGTTTTAGTACAATACAGGAGAGGGAAATAAAGGGGGGAGATAAAAAGGTGGCTTTTGAGAGCACTTGGAGAGGACTTAGAAAAGCAAGACACATCTGGACTCTGCATGGTGGACTCTTCCTTTCTTCCCCTGGATGTTTCTGGATCAGTAACTTCAAAACCTGGAGTTTGCTGCCCTGACTTGTTTCTTTGTTCAGCTGAAATCAATGTTGGGATGATGCTCTTGGGCACATGGTCGAGTTCTCGGGGTGTCCAGTGCAGGGCCAGCAGTTGGACTTGATGATCCTTGTGGGTCCCTTCCCACTCAGAATATTCTGTGATATTTTTTTTGGTACATCAATCTCACCTCATCAAACTCTATAACTGTTGCCTAACGTTGTTTTTCTTTTTTTTTATTATTTTTTTTCTCCTTTCTCCCTTCTCTCCTTTCTCTCCCTTCTCCCCCTGACTATCAATTTTGCTTTTTTTTCCCCTGCCTGCTTTCCAAATGTACCCAATCCATCACGGGAATGCAGCCCTGGAAGATGGATGTCCACGTGTCATTCATCAAAGCTCATGCCTGCCAGGAGGGGACCCAAAATGAGCTGTGAGCAAGGGCAGAACAAGGGAGAGAACTGCAGTGCTTTGTTTCTCCCCCTCCTGAACTCGTGGTTTGTTGGTTTTTTTTTTTGAGTAGCACTGATGTTTTTCAGCAGTTCATGGTTGTCTGTGGCTCCTCTTGGGGGAAGAGGAGGATGGTGGTGGTGGAGACACTCTGAGCTGTCTCAGTCCCTGCTCTCCCACTTCAGACTTGGATGTATGAGAATTTCCTGGATGTGCCACAGGGTCATTCCTGGGGGGGTGGGAGGTGTCCCAGCCTGTGGCACGGGGTGCAATGAGCTGAGCTTTAAGGTCTCTCCCAACCCAACCCCTTCTGGGTTTCTGAGAAGGGGTTAATAACCATGTTCCTGGCAAACCCCTCCATTGTGCTGCAGTGTAATGTGGTGTGAAGGTTCCCTAATAGAATAAGAGCAGGCCTAATGCAATGAGGCATTTGCTAATAAACAGCTTTACTGGATATTAGGGAATTTGCGTGGCGTGTTTGTGATGAGTTTGTGAATCTTAAATGTGGTTTGGAGGCTTAATTTAGACATCCAGGGCTGTTGTCACCGTTCAGCGCCGTGACTTTGCTTTGTTGGCTGAAATCAGAGCTTGTTTCCAAGTCTTTGCTTTCTCAGCTTCTCTCATGGTTTGGTTTTTAGAGTCCCAGACTGGTTTGGGTCGGAAGAGACCTTAAAGATCATCTCATTCCACCCCCTGCCCTGGGCAGGAACACCTTCCCCTAGCCCTGGTTGCTCCAACCCATCCTTGGACACTTCCAGGGATCCAGGGGCAGCCACAGCTCCTCTGGGCAACCTGTGCCAGGAGCTCCCCACCCTCCCAGGGAGGAATTTCTTCCCTGCTGAAGAGGAGAGACACTGCTGCCCTGAAAGCCAAAAGGATCTTTTCCTTCTTCCCTTCTGGACTTTTATTGGAGGGAAAGGAGATTTGATCCAATGTAAATATTGCTTTACCATAGGAGAGATAGTTACAATTGTGTCTATAATGTATGATATTTATTTGTGTAATAAGTGTAATATAATTCCCTTCCCCCCATATTGAGTCTTGTGTTATGTCTGGAAAAAAACCCTCTCCCACTGAAGCAATTGTGGGAGAGGGGCTTGGACTTGGAAATTGGATTTTTGGGGGGGTCTCAAACCACCACACCTGTATATAACCTAAATTTCCCCCCTGGCAGTTGGGCCCCATCACTCCTTGACCTGACACTACAATTTTCCCAATTCCTTGGCTTCGAGAGAGGGATCAGTGGGAGAGACTTTTCTGGGAGAGCTGAGAGCAGGGAGGGCAGTTTGTCCCTCCCTGGAGCAGGAGATGAGGTTTGTGACATCCCTCCAGCCCCTGCCCAGGATTTCCCCTTCTCTTCAGCAGAGTTTATGCTCCTTCCACCAGACCAAACTTTCCCAAAAGCTCATCCTTGAAATTCCCACCTCCTCTGAACTGCTGTGGGGTCAGAAATGCGAGTGGAGACCTGATTTAACTCTGCGCTTCCCCCAGAGCAGCTTTTCCCCTTCCCATCGTGCCTTGATTGTGTCATTGTTCCCAGGGACTCCAATCAGGTCCTTCCCTGATTGCCTTCCCTCTGGGCCAGGCTCACAAACCTGGCTGAAATGGGAATATTTGCAGTTATTTCTGGATCCAGGATTGCTGTGGGATTTGGGAGCCTCTCTGCACTTTCCCTGTCCCTGTGGCACAACCAGAGAGTTGCTGACAGGAACACCACCTGCCTTCTTGGAGCTTTTTTTCAGCTGCTGCTGATTTGCAGGACATTTTTAATGTGAGAACCTTAAATTGGTTGTGGAATCCCTTATTTGAAGTCTCAGGCTCACACTCAGATCCAGGGAAAACACATTGTAAATCAGTCCTTCCAGCTCCCTAATTCTGTTTTCCCAGTGGATTTACACAACAAATGGAACTGGTCAACTTAGAAAATCAGATTTTTTTTTTTCCTTCTAGAGGTGCTTAAAATTACGTTTGAGAGCCCAAGGGACAGATTGTGGGATGTTTTTCCTTAGGTGTGAAGCTGCTGAGCGATGCTGGGGTGACTCAGGGTGTTACAACCCCCTGGGCTTCCCTCCCAGGGAATTGTGTTGTCCTTGGCTGTTCAAACAAAATGTTTCGATGAGACTGAGTTTATTTGCCTAAGAAAATGTTTGCTTTAGCCTGTGGATCAAGGAAAACAAGTGTTCACTGCGGGCAGAGCCTCAGCAGTGCAGGTTGTGTTCCTGGGAGGTGAATATTTATTTACCCAGCTGTGAGGATCCTTCCTTCCCATCCCCAGGAATCCCTGTGTCTGCAGGGATCATTCCTGTGTCTGCAGCGTGTGCAGAGCTGGGGAAAACGTTTCCAAATCATTCCTGCAAAAGCTTCACGTTCCCAGCAGAGCAATTCCAGCTGCTGGCACCGTGACCCCCTTATCTCCCAACCCACATCCCTGTTCCAGTTGTTGTTCCTTGTTCCAGATCCTCATCCCTCTTCCCTGGCAGGGTGAAGAGAAGCTGCCCTCAGTGTGCTGTGTGTGCAGTTAAAACCCAGATATTTGGCCGTATTTAAGTGACTGGAAGATTTAAGTATTTTGTTTGAACTCGGAACGATGAGATACTTGTGATAAAAGTGGAATTATCCTCTGGGGTGACCCGGTTGCAGCTACACCAGGAGTCCCCGTGTCCTGCCTGCTTCTCCTTGATAACCTTTTAATTACTGCTGGAAAAATCAGCCCAGGTGACTTGTGGTTAATTACCAATCAAGAGCACGAAGCTTTTGATCTTAAAAACGGCAGAAGGGGAAGGAGGAGGAGAGGGAGAGACAAAGGGAATGGGGAAGGAGAGAATTCCCCCCACATTCCTCCCCCTGGCAGAGATGCAAATTTGGGGTAAAAGAACAGGTACTGGGGCTCAAGACTGTTCAAGAAATTCCTGGAAAACCAGCTGGGAACACACAGGACTGGTGTCAGGATTCTGTGAGGATTCACCTCTGGCCTGTGACATGTCCCTCTGTCTCTGAGGTGAGCACAGTTCCTTTTGCTGAGGATAAAGGTAAATAAAGCCCAGGGCTCCTTAAA